TACAGATGATAGCCCCGGACTAAATGATTACTTGGAGAGGAAACTGAACAGACAAGGCACAGCCATCTTAAGCTTTTGTGAAGGTGTAATAATTTTCTTTGATGGTACCCTATAATTTATTAATTTTTTTTTCCCCCACTTAAAATTGTTTTATCTTGAAATCTTCTTGGCTTCCTGGCCATTTGGAAGTTTTGAATCTACACTATTCCCTCTTTTTTCTTTGTAGTTGACTTCATTATAAATTAATACCACTGGTACCCTATTTTCAATCTTTTAAATTCGTTTTACTTAAAATACTTTTATATCTGTAGTGACTTCTGTGTGGTGTTGTCAAGTATGTTCATCTCAGGCTGTTGTCTGCTGTTGTTGGTTCTCACTACAAAGAACATCCTTTAATATTTTGGTAAAGTTGGTTGACTGTTACATATTCCTTTAAATTCTGTTTATCTGGAAATTTCCCAATTTTGCTGTCATTTTTTGAGGGACAGCTTTGCTGGGTATATGATTCTGGTTGGCAATTTTTCCCTTTTAGAGTTTTGTATATGTCATCCCATCACCTTCTTGCCTGCCTCGTTTCTGCTGAGAAATCAGAGCTTAGTCTAACTGGTTGTTCTTTGTAGGTAACTTTTCATTTTTCCTGAGTTGCTTTCAGGATTCTTTCCTTTTCCTTGGTTTTAAAATTTTTGATTATGATATGTCTTAGTGATTTTCTTTTGGAATATATCCTTTTAGGGTTCATTTAGCTTCTTGTATTGTTTATTTTCTCATCTTACATGCTGTTAGAGAAGTTTTCTTCCAAAAACTCTTTAGCAATTTTCTCTCTACTTCTTTTTTAAATGTTTTTGTCCTTTTCTAGAATTCTGATGATCAAGTTATTCCTCTTCATGAGGTCCCACACCACTCTTAAGCTTTCTTCAGATTTTTTTCTGATTATTCTTCTAACATACTAGTACTGAAAGATTTGTCTTCAAGCTCAGTAATTCAGGCTTCCATGGCTTCATATCTATACATTTGGCCTTTCAATCTATTGCACATTTTTGAAATCTTAGTATTAATCTGGATTTCTAATTGCAGGTTTTGTACTGTTTCAAATTTTGTGCTTAATTGATGATTGGTTATATGTTGATGTGTTCTTAGGTTGCCACCAACTGTCTTCTGTGAGTATAGTTAGTTAGAGAATAGAAACAGGTGCACCGTTCTACTTTCGTTGTGTGTGCACCTCAGTTTAATTAGGATTGCCTGCTGCTGTTTGCTGTCTGTCATTGATAGGTCAGAGGAGCCCAGTGAGTGGAACTTCAGAGGGTGCGGTTGTGACTGGTCTGTGTGGGCACAGTTGCTGTCTCCTATACTACCTCCCCCCAATCACAATATACAAGGGAAAAAAAACAAACAGAATAAGCAACCAACCAACCAACAATGAAAAGAGAAAATAATAAAGGAGAACAAAGAAATAAAAAGTCACCAGAAAAAAAGAATATAGTAATATAAAGAGAAAACAGGAACAGGAAAGTGGAGCTAAAGAAGAGAAAAATAAAGCGAGAAAATAAAAGGAGGAAACTAAAACAAAAAACACTTAGAAAAAACAAGGAGTGAGAAGGTATAAAGAAAATAGAGAGTAGTAAAGAACAATCAAAAGGAGAAAGAAAAACAAAAGTTTGCAAGTTGCCATCTAAGATACAACTACAGATTTCTTCTTATCCAGAGCAAAGAAGAGTAAAGAAAAGCAAAGATTCAAGGGAACAATTAGTCTAAGGGACTAACGGACCACATTAACCATATTCTTCACTAGCCTGAGACCAGAACTAGATGGTGCCCGGCTATCAAAACTGACTGCTCTGATTGGGAGCGCAGTATAAGTTCCTGGACAGAGTGGGGAAATAATTTAGAACAATTTTCAAAATCATAAAAATGACCGGACTAACACTGGTAGAACACCCCAGACTATAGCCCTTAGGCATCCTTGGAACTGGACCTAACCCAATCCCAGAAATCACCTTTCAGCCAAACAATAGATAGGCCTTTAAAGTAAACAGTAATACCCGTGAGGAACATGCTTCTCAGAATCATCAGCCATACAGGACCAAAAGAGCAGGATTTGCTGAAAAAACAAACAGAAAGCAAGAAGTGGCAGGAAAGATGGATACATGGGAATGGGAAACCCAGGGAGGAAGTAGGAAGAGTGCAGTTATATGGTTGGGATTGCAATCAATGTCACAAAGCAAAATCTGTGTGAATTCTTGAATGTGGAACTCATTTGTTCTGTAAATTTTCACCCAAACCACAATAAAATGTTCTTCCCCAATCAAAAAAAAAAAAGGATCAAATGGAAAAAGGAGGAGGAGGACAGAGGAAATGAGAAACAGAAGAAAAGGAAAAAACAAAAGTGGAGATGAAAAGGATAAAATTCAAGGGAATGGGGAAAAAAAGAAACAAAACAAACAACGAAAGGGGGAAAAAAACAAATTTAAAAAAAACAGTATTAAAAAACAACAATATAGCTGTTGGACCCAGAGAGGAGAACTTTTCACGTTCTTTGCCTTCTCCGTGAGTTGCTGACCATTTTGAATTGAATACAGATAGTAGCCAGCCAAGGAACTCATGAGGTGGTGCAGGAAGGATGTGTCCAAAAGTTTTCTGGCCCTAGATGGGTTTCCTAGAGACCTAGGAGTTATTCAGGGCACTCAATCCAGACATAATTCGTGGACGCCCTTGATGGAACTCGTTTCACTCTCCATTAGAACCACAGGGCAGCTGGGGATGGGGTGGCTGGTTAGGAGGGTTTCTGCTCTTCAGATCATGTTGCTCTGGAGTTGCGCGCCCCCCCTCCCCCCCAGTCCAGGCACCAAAGTTGCATAGCCGGCCTCCGCCTCACACTGGCATGGGCTCCCGGAAAGCATTGTCTGTCTGCGCATGGGGTGGATGACGATGGGAGCTGACCACACCTCTGGTCACCAGGGAAGCATGGGATGAAGGAAGAAATCACACTTTTCCCATCACCTATATGAATTTGCTCTGCCAGGTCACCTGTCAGTCTCCCTCTCTCATTGTCCCTGTTCAGCTTTTTCTCCCAACATACTCAATCCACTTATCTAACCTTTCTCTGAAATTCAGGGTGCCAGGATTTTCCTCTGTATCTGTTTCATCTTTGTTGTAGAGGGTCTGTGTAGTGCATCTGCCTAGTCTGACATCTTGCCAGAAGTCCTTTCCTCTTCTGTTTTGGTCTTCGTCAAATCATTGATTGATTCAAGTTTGTGTCAGGAATACAATCTTGTAGCTAACATTAACTACCATCCTTTGAATCTGGTCACCAACAATTTCTGACTCACCTAATTATCTCTGTAACCAAAAAAAAGGGAGGGGGTGGTGGATTTCTTATGTACTTTTATCTTCCTTATCTTCATCAGAGTCACAATTTTATGCTTAGAATTCTATTTTAGCTGGTATCCTAGGTGATAGAATTATGGGATCTTTTCATTCTTTTTGCTCTCCTAGAATAATTTCTAGGTAGTCTGGGTGGCACTGACAGTTAAGTATTCCACTACTGGCCAAAAGATTGGCAGTTGGAACCCATGTAAACACACTGCCTTGGAAAACAAGCATGGCAGTCTGCTTCTGGAAAGCCACAGCTTTGTAAACCGTATGGACCAGTTCTGCTCTGTATACATGGTGTCACCCTGAATCTGAATTTATTTGATGGCAACTAACAGGAAGAAGAAGAATTACGTGTGCCCAGTCTTTCCTTCCATAGCATAACTTAATTGTAGCTATATTGATTCCTAATAATGGCCTCTCATTTTAACTTCATTAACTTCATTAATTCTTCCCTTTCATACCCATTTAGTTCTCGGATAGCAGTTATGTTAGTAATGAAATCCACCAGAAAAGCAAGAATTGGAAGAATATTTTTACAGAATGATACTTGTTTTTAGGTATTAAAAATGTCTCCAACCACTAATAGTTTATTGTGTATCTTTTAGATACATATATTCATTTGATGCTTTAAACCAGTGTTTTTGCAAACTCACCAAAGAACTCTGTTGTATTGGTATTGTGTTCCATTGAGTCAGTTCTAACTCATAGTAACCCTGTTTAGGGTTGCTAAGGCTGGGAGTCTATGGAAGTAGAAAATCTCCTCTTTCTTCCCTAGAACAACTGGTGGTCACTATGAGCCAGAACCAACTGTCCCTAGAATAGACTGCTGATATTGTGGTTAACAGCCCGATGTGTAACCCACTCTGCCACCAACACCCCTTTCTGTTGTTTTAGGACCACCAATAAAAAGCACTAAAAGTTGTCTTTGACCATTTTTTACCTTTTCATTTTTTTAACCAGATTTTGATTCCTTAAATCTTTTGAGTTCCATAAATCTAATACTTCCTGGGCTTCCTTTTTCTATTTTCTCGAGTATGTTTGGAAACTCTTTATCCTCAGAAGTCAGTATATTCATAGATTTCTCATTTTTTGCTGAATATTTGAAGAAAATAAGGAAATTGAATATCAGAATCTGGAAAGATATTTCAAGTTCTTTGCCTGCTTCTTGAGTTGATGACCATTTTGAATGTAATGCATATAGTTGCCACTGAGACACAAGGTCGCATATTCTCTTACCTTAAGCTGGAAGCCGCTGGTGCTTAGAAGCTTTGCAGTGGGGGCATAGTTTTTGTTTTGCATTAAATCAGCGCTGTGTTCAGTGGGTGCCACTAAGTTTAACACAGGAGGGAGGGACTTTGTTGGTAACATTAGAAAGTGCCATTCTCTTAAACAGTTATTCTGCCCTTACTCAGGTTTAAGTTGTTAAAGTACTCAGAGTAGAACCATCAGTAAACAGAGTAATTTAGACAAGAAAAGGTAGATAAAGTTTATGTGCAATACATTCTGATATTTTGTCTGTTGTTTGTTGTCTATAGTCTGAAATGGTAACTTTTCATCACTTTTTATCTCACAGGTAAACAGTATCTTCAGTAAAAGTAGTTCTCTAAAATTGGCTGTTTGTTTCACAGATTTTAAATCTTCTAACAGAAAAAGAAATAAATGTTGTTTTGCCAACAAATTCCATTGTTCCAAGGACTTTTGTGCTTAAACCAGGAGCAGTTCTATTCTTGGGTGCTATAGGTCGCATAGATTTCCTGCAGGTAAGAAAAGTGTACCATTAAAAAATAACAATGAAAAATGACTAAGTACTGGGGTTAAGCATTCCAAGAGGGTGGGGTGGGGGTGGAGGACAGGAAGGAAGGGGCAAAGAAATCGGTCATATGATTCCTAGATGAGGACTAGGTGGGAGTTTAATACACTTTTCTTTATTGTGTGTTAGAAAATTCCCATCGTGAATACATGGAAGGAAAACAGAAATGCCTTCCTCTACCTGTATCTTTGGTGGGATGTGGAATGTCCATTCAGCTTGGCATTTAAGACAGGACAGTGCTATCCCCTTTCTGTGGTGACGCTTAGGTAGAAACCAGGTCAAAGCTTTAGGGACAGCATAAGCGTGCAGGAAAGAAATATGGTTTTTTGATTGGCATTCATTTCCATCACTCAGGAGTCTGTGAATTGTTCGTTTAGCAAAGTGATGGAAGAAAATGAAAACAGATGTGTCTACCAATGCTGAGGGAGCACAGTGGCTCTGTAGGATAAGCACTGAACTATGAACCACAGGGTTCACCTGTTGAGCTCACCTGTTGCTCCCTGGGAGAAAGGTTCTGCTCCCGTAAAGATTTACAGCCTCGGAAACTCTGTACAGGGTCACTATGAGTAGGAACCAACTTGATGGTACTTAACAACAACAAAGCCCACAGAATATTTTTTTGGCATCACTGTTGTTGTTAAGTGCTAGGGACCGTTTAAGAGGACAGGGTTTTTTTCTTTGTCTTTAATGTTAGAGGTATTGTTTGGTTTTTTTCTTTATAAACAAAGCTGTAGAAGCAGTCATAGTTTTCCAGGGATTGCTGAAATGCACCCTTTCCATGTTGTGCCTTTTTTAGGAGTTAATATTGCTCAATTAAAGCTGCCATATCAGAGTAGTTCTTATAAAGTGAGCTTACTATTTTGGGGTGGGGTTTTTTGTGTATTTTTTTGTAATTGAATGTACCATGTAATGTGCTGGTTTTGCAAGATTTTATTCTGTAAAATAACTTCTTCCTTTCTCAAGGGAAATCAGTCTGCTTGGTTTACAGTTGTGGCTTCCAACTTCCTTCGTGTGCACATTACTTCCTTGGACAAGGCCAATGCTTTGTATCAGAAGCATGCGGGTCATACCTTACTACAGGTAAGGTGATGCACTTTGATGATTGCACACAGTGGCAGTTGACTTACAGTGTAACAGTCCTTCGATCCTGCACAGGAACCTTTGTTGGATAGAGCAGACTTTACTTAGCTCTCCTCCCTCACCTATAAAATGTAATGGGGAGTTTGACAAAGTTGACCTACATCTATGGATGCAGTAGCACAAAAGAGGGAAAAAATCTTTACAGCATTGATAATTCCCACCCCCTCGATACACAGGGTAGACAGGGATGAGCAACTTGAACACTGGCTACTCAAAATGGTGGAGGATGGGGGGAACCTATAAAGGCAAGAAGTTGACTGGCTTACAAGCTTTCAGGAGGGAGCCTAGATCCATAGGGCATGGAAGAAGGTAGAATCTCCACTGAGTGGTATCCAGTCTGTCTGGGCGGGCCTAATGAAAGGAGATGGAGATAGGACTGTTGTGATATGTGAATGTAAAGCTAATGTTCTCCCATGTAAACTATCACATAATTCACAATAAAACACTTAAAATTTAAAAAAATGTTATCGGGAGTCTTGGTATGACATTGTAGGATAAGCGCTTGATCACAAGTTCAGTTTGAACCACAAGGTTGGCAGTTCAGACTTACCAGCTGCTCCTTGGAAACCCTGTACGGGGTCACTATGAGCCAGAACCAACTCGATAGCACTTCACAACAACATAAGAAGAGAGGACTTAATTTGGCCTGTTCCTAGAATAGCTACAGACCTATGGCTCTCTAGACTACACTGCCCAGTCCACAAGAGGCTATTGAAATGTTCGTAAATCAGCTCAAATTGCATAAAGTTTTTTGGTTGTTTTTTTGGTTTTGTTTTTTGATTGTGATTTAGGTGGAATTTTACAGACCAAATTGGTTTTCCATTCAACAATTCATGCACATTTTGTAACATTGATTGTAAACCCGACAATGTAACAACACCCCTGACTACCTTCTTGTGTTTACCATTTCCATTTCTCCTTTCTTATGCCTTCCTGCTTCAGAGCTTTATCCCTGGATAAATGCTTTCCTTTTGATCTTGCATAGTTGATTGTTCTCAGGAGTGTGTATCCCCCTAGTGTTATTGTTCACGTCTTTGTCTGTTTGACTAAATGGAGATCCTGGTGTGGTGTTATGAATAAGCACTGGACTGCTAACTATAAACAATAGTGCCATAAACTCATCATCATCCCTTTTCCACTTGTTGTGTCTTACATCAGCTTACATGCATGAATAACTTCATTTATAAAAACGAACACAAGCTTGATCCCTATGTGTTAGCAGTTAAAGATATCCCAACTGTTCAACTGTTTTTGACATGTTATGCCCCTCCATAGTCGTTAATATCAATCATACTCTTCCCTTCCCTCAAGTCCCAGGGTTTTGCAGCACACTGCAGTGGCTCATGAAATTGTGGAGGCTAGCGAGTCCCAAATCCGTGGTTCACAGAGATCAGTCTGGAAGGAATCTTCTCACCTCCATAATTTCAGGAGCTGAATAACCCAAATCTGCAAGTCAGACGACAGGTTGTTCATGCACAAGGCTGCAGGAGCTGGTGAATCAGGTCACATGATGGACCAAAAGTCACATGAACTGGAGGTCAGATGTCATAAGCTAGATGCAAGATCCAAGGCAAGGGAGCAAACTTTTCAAAAGCAGTCAGACCATGCCCCCAAGGGAAACTGTGACTTGAGTCACACCCTCTGCTAAGGTGAGGACGTTGTTAGTACTCAGATCCTTGTCCTTGTTAAGTGCCTTTGAGTTCTGATTCATAAAGACCCTATATAGGGTTTCCAAGGAGCAGCTCGTGAGCTTGAACCGCTGACCTTGCTGTTCAAACCAACCTTGTAGTCTACCACATTAACTTACAGCACCACGCCAGGACTCCAACTCTGCTTAGCAACTCATTTCAAGGAGTCCTGGTGTGGCATTATAGGACAAGCACTGGACCACAAGGTCAATTTGAACTGCTATTCCAACTCACCAGCAGCTCCACAGTGACCCTATACAGGGTCACTGTGAGTCCAATCTGACTTGAAGTCACCTAACACTCCTTAGCCCCGCCTTCATTTTTACTCCTTAGCAACTCATTTCAAAATGGGTCCATAATCACAGACATAGTAGCTAGGATTTAAAATACGTCACAACAATGTTGCCCTCGACTCAGAACACAGTAATTACTCCTTTCATCGTAACCATAGCACTTTATAGATGCGTCTCATCACAGTCTCACATGTATTTGTCTACTGGTCATTTCCCCCATCTGATCTTAAGGACAGGGGCCATAATGTAACATCTCTGTATTTGTGTCCCTTGTGCCTAACAGCTTAACACATGACCTGACCCATAAGTGGGCATTCAAGATAGATTTTATTAATGAGTATATAGGTAAATGATCTAGTTCTTCCATTTCCTGGAAGTATCTATAAACATAGAAGCTGCATCTTCTCCATTATACACATACTATTGACTTATTATAAGGAGCTCTGGTAGCGTAGTGGTTACGAAACGGGCTGCGAACCTTAAGGTCAGCGGTTCGAAACTACCAGCTGCTCCGCGGGAGAAAGATGAGGCTTTCTACTCCCGTAAAGATTTACACCCTCGGAAACCCTGTACAGGGTCGCTATGGGTCGGAACCGACTCGATGGCACATAACAACAACAACATTGACTTATTATGAGGTGGAAATTAATCTTCATGGACACATCAATCACAACTGAGATATTTGGAAGGACACTGCATTAATTACCCAGTTCTACTCTGTGTAGCTCTGGTAGCGTAGTGGTTACGAATCGGGCTGCGAACCTTAAGGCCAGCAGTTCGAAACTACCATCCACTTCGTGGGAGAAAGATGAGGCGTTCTATTCCCGTAAAGATTTACAGCCTCGGAAACCCTGTACAGGGTCGCTATGGGTCAGAACCGACTCGACAGCACTTAACAACAACAACAACTCTGTGTAGGAGTCTGGGTGTGGGACTATAGGATAAGCACTCAACCCATAAGGTCAGTTTGAACTGTAAGGTTGGTGGTTCAAACTCACCTGCTGCTCCTCAGAAACTCTATACATTGTGTCAGACCAACTTGAGGGCACTTAATAACAACTCTGTAATAAAATCCTATGGAGGGCTATGAAACAGTGTAAACTGATAAAATGTGATTCTGCTGTCAAAAGGTTACCTCCATATAACCTGCCCTTGGCACTGAGAATTTCTAGTTTTAGCACAGAGCGCTCCCATATTGTTCATTTAACCTTGGAAGAGATTTGGAGGTTTTCTCAGCAGTTGAATGCTTAAAAGGTTTTATTCTTGATCACTGTAGAGAACGATCTTACCAGTGTGGTTTATTTATTAGAGTTATAGGGGAGTTTATTTGAACTGTCAAGCATCTTCATTTTATTTCACTGTAAGGTTCCAATGGGTGGAGAAGAGCGAATGGCAGAATTTCCTCCTCTTGTTGCTGAAGACATTATATTAGAAGAAGGACTTGGGGAATCTGAAGCAGTGGCTGACATCAAGTTTTCTTCTGCAGGCAAGTTTACACCAAGCACATTTTTAAAGTTGAATGAAATAGCCTTTACTGACATATTTGAGGGGGCTGCAAAAAATCATTGCCTTTCAAAACTCTTTGAAGCCCCCTCATAGTGCTTTTTTTTTTTTTTTTATTAAAGAAATGTGTCTTTATATAAACTGAATATTTTAAGGACTACGTAAGTTTAAAATTGACACCTACTCTAAACATAAATGTGTAGCTTGTCAAATGGGTGTTCTTTTTTAAAAGGGTGAAAGAGCCTCAGCTCCTTGTGCGCCCTTTCGGAGCTGTGGTGTTGCGTGGTCCATCAGATGCTCACTAACCCCATTTGTGTGTGTTGCATGCCTGCACAGGTTGGGTTGCAGTAACACCTCAGCTTAAAGACAAACTGCATCTCCGAGCCTACACACCTCAGGGGACAGTTCTGACAGTCCGGCCCCCTCTCTTGCCACGGATCGTGAACATCAAAGGAAAACGCATCAAGAAAAGTGTGGCCTATGCAACCAAGAAGCCTCCTTCCCTGGTATACAATCTGAAAAAAGAAAAGAAACATCAGTGAGGCTGACCTTGCTCACCCTGAGCATTAACTGTACTGAGCCTAACTGTGTACATTGAATTGCATGAAATAATGCAACTCTAAGAAAGCTTTTTCTGCCCAATGTTTTTAATAGTCATGACAGATCACTAAAGCTTCTTGGACTGTGGCAGTTTGTAATACATTGAGCTTATCAATATTTGGTATTTTTTGTAGGGTGTGTATGTATGTGTGACCCAAATATACCTTTTTTTTTTAATGTTTTATTGTGAATGATGTGATAGTTTACATGGGAGAACATCAGTCTTACATTCATTCTATCGTATATCGTCTCATTGCCATGGTTACAATCCCCTCCATGCAAACCTTCCCCCGTACCCCCAGGTCTTCAGCACACAGTCGCTCTCCCTCTCTGGATCTAAAGTCTCCAGCTGCCCCATCGCTCCACGTCATCATCTCTGGCTCCATTTCAGGCATCACTGCTTCTCTGGGTAGGGTCCCGCTCTCTGCTCTTCTCCCTTGATGGTCCTAGGGACCTCCGCTCCTAGACTGAAAAGCTAATCACTCCCCTCCTTGCTATAAAACATCCACCTTTACATTTCCGACCCTCACAGTCCTGATAACAATTATTTACTATTGTATCACAAGAGACCCGTCTGTATTTCATTGCATCAGCCCCGCCTAGTCAGATTGAATACTACTCACCGCAGATACTACCTTCCTCCAGGCCCTCTGGATCTAGGTTCTCTCTTGAAAGCTTGTAAGCCAGTCATTTCTTGCCTTTGTAGCCCCCCACCCCCCATTTTGGGTAGCCAATGTCCAAGTTGCCCATCCCTGTCTACTCTGTGGGTGGAGGGGGTGGGGATGATTCTTGCTGTAAGGACTTGTTCCCTCTCCAAATATACCTTTAAAAGGAAGTCTGCTACATTCAGATTTCTCCCACTATTATTTTCTTTATTGAGACCAGTTGTGATTATTTTCCTTTCTGGATTCTACAGATGACAAGTTGACAATTTCATAGCAATTGGCATATGAAAAAATTGCAGAAAATTAATTTTCCCAATATGCATTAGCTAAAATCCAGTGAGTACATGGGTCTGCTCCACATAGTTCTCCAAGGATTCCACTGGTAAAACTCTCCAAGGTTCCCATTCCTAAGTTAAAAGTGGTTACTCAGACTGTTACTGTACCCCAACAAGTGGAAAGAGGGCAGCAGACTGGGAAGCAAAGCAGGTTTAAAAGAAGAAGGTTAAAGAAAAACAGTGACACACTACTTCAATTCACACTGCTCATTGGTTACTTGGCTCAGTAGTTACTTGGTCACATCCAGCCACAAGGAAGTGGGGAAATGGGAACCATTTCAGGTTTTCACTGTGGAAGGAAGGGAAGAGTGGATACTAGAAAACCAAGTTACCCAGTGCTACTATAGCAGAATTACCACTAGTGATGACTTTATTTAATTTATTCTTTCACAGTTTAGGAGGCTACGAGTCCTAGTGTGCTGCTGTGGGTTAGTGTGATCGGTGACCACAAGATCAGCAGTTCAAGCTCACCAGCCATTCTCCAGAAACCCTATATAGGGTTGCTATGGGTTGGAACCTACTCAACACCACTTAAGTCCAAAGTAGGGTTTTGCTTCCTCTGTCAACTCAGAAGGTCCTTGTCTCTTTCAACATCTGTGGGCCAAACCACAAAAGCCTACTTACACAATTTTAAAATGCCTTGAAAGCTCAGATAAAAAAATCCAGGTTATATCTTTTCTGTAACTATAAAAGGCACTTTAACCATTGCATTTGCATTTACCTGTTAACATCTTGTATAGTATTTGCTATAGTTAAACCTAAGACATCTATCAATCAGAAATCTGCCTTTTATTATCCCTAGGTGAGGAAAGTAGTATTGCAGCTGGCAAGTCAGGTCCTAGATCCTGATGTTGAAACAAATGCTAGGGTGATAAGCTGGACTGAAGTGCAGTCAGAATCATGAACTTGTGTAGACACTGAAATCGGGCATAAACTTAATAGATACACATGTTCTCTGCCAATGTGTGAGAATTCCTGTATGAGGGGGCTTCCAAAAGTTCATGGAAAAATTCCGTTACCATTTCATTCCATTTTACAGGAAATTTCAGGAACTCCTCATATAGTTCATGCTTTCCTGCCTTCCCTCCTTCTACTTTTTTCGATAACTCCTCTTAGTATAATGAATATAGACGTTTTGGAGATGTAACATGTAATAATATTGTACATCTCGCTTTTACAGTGCTTCAAAAACGGGTACTGGTTGGGACTTTGGAAAAGATCATTTTTATCTCTCAAAAGTGTCTGGCACCCCTGGTCCCCTAAGCACTGAATGCCAGTAGCAACTGCCTTTCCCCCTTTGCCCACCCGTTATGATACCTAAAAAGTACCTTAGACATTTCTAAATGTACCTCTAGAGGGTGGTAGCTTTGTGAATTGAGGAAATTGATTTCTGCTTATTTTATTTTGTGGAGAATGAAATACCATTAATTTTACAAGTCTAAAGTGTGATCACTATTTCTGTATTCTGGGAAGAACAATAGCTCATCATTTAGAGCTAACACATGAATCTTAAGATAGAATGAAGGAAAGAGAAATTTGGAATTTTTAGAGAAATAGCATAAAAACTGACAATGTCGTTATCTTGACAATTTAGGAATATGTATTTTTTTAAGAAACCAATATTACGTCCCCTTATCTTTTCTGTAGGCTTTTTGGCTTTACTGACAAGGTTTTGTTTTTAAATATTCATAGTTCATATTTTTAGTTTCTTACCTCTAAAATGCAAGAGTTTTGTTTATTTTATTTTATATAAAGTTTGATTCAGTTTGATTCAAACCTATTTAAAAATGTTGCGAGGTACCTTTCTAGGAGTTTCAGATGCTTCAGTTTATTAAGTTTCCATTTCTTTAGTTACATTCATCTCTTTGGGGCTTGATTCTGTCATCTATGAAATGAAAGAATTACACTAATTCCAGTTCCCAGTTCTAATGCTTTATGATTTTGACAAAAAATAGGCAGGGAAGAAAGCTACAAATGGGCACTTGCAATGCCTCAGGAAAGATGATGCATGCTTAGATGTGAGACTCCTGCTATGACCTGGTATTAACTTATTTTATTTATTTCCTGTGGTACCTTGAATTTACTGGATAGGGTTTTTCTATCCAATGTCTTCTTAATTCCTCCCAAGTGATTGGGTGGGACTATGCAAATAAGGTATACTGGACTCTAAGGCTGAGATTGGCTAGTTTTGCAATCCAGGTAGGCTTTAAAGGCGCCATCTCAGAAGCAGGAATAGACGAATCCAGGACCATCAAGAAGGAAGAGCATGAGTAGAGCATGAGATCCCTACCTGGAAAACTGGCAACTGCACAGGCAGTAGCATGGAGAGACAGCTATGACAGTCTCTAGGACCATGGGCTAAGACAAAGGCCAAGGGCCACATGACTGAGAGGCCAAAGACATGAGTGCAGTGTGCCTGCAGATGGCAGATAACTAGAAAATTGCATCCTGAGATTTCAATCCTGACTTGACCCTGTTCACTTCCCTAATAAACCCCATAATCGTGAGTATTGTTGAGTTCTGTGTGACCATCACAATGGATTATCAAACCCAGATGTGAAGCAGAGAGTGCTGTGGGAGGATAGTTGATGTCAGACAAGCGTAAAAGAAAGTTGTAGGGTAGAGGCATGCTAGACCACTTCACGGGAATTGGCCTTGGACTGATTTTGAGTTTGATTCCCTTTCACCCTTGTGAAGCCAGGCTTCCCACATGATTTTGCACTACCAAACTCATGCAGCCCCGGGTCACTACTGGACTACATCCCATGTCTACAGTGAATTTTGCTTTAAGAAATCATGTTAATTTTTTGGTTTCTGATCTTTAGCCAGTTTGTTAATACTTCATCGGCAGCCGAGTGTGGCACTGTAGATAAGCACTGTAACCAAAAGGTTGACAGTTCAAACCTGCCAATTGCTCCTTAGGAACACTGCAGGGTCACTGAGTTGGAACTGACTCGAACTCACTTAACAACAATCCATTCATCTGAGTATAGAGGCCTCTCTTGAAGTCAGTATTTTATATCATGATGAGGTCCGGGATTTAATGGCAAAATGTCAGGGCAGCCTCATTTTCACAGAACAAAGAGTTTCTGAAAGCAACTAAGCAAGATTATAGCAGATTGTTTACCAGGATGTACAGCCTTGTGGTGTTAAGCTTATCACCTCATTTGTATTCAAGACACTAGAAATAAGCATATGTCATCAAAGCGCTTTGACTGGACTTTATACTTTTTAAAAGTTACGCTTAGATTTCCTTTGCCTACCATTGTAAAGTAGACACTTGGGGGAAGAAAGGAATAGCCAGAAACATCACTACAGAAAGTTTGTAAATCCATCTTCAGCCTATGACTGACTGGAATACCCTAAAGGGGGCTAGAAGTTGCCTAGTAAAAGAGGTTTCCTGTGGAACCTTTGCATTACACAAGACCATAGGTGGAAATTTCCACTGGAAAGGATGAGTAGACCAGCCTGGAGTGGCTAGAAGAACAGAAGATACTTCGTGAGAGAAAGACCGGCAAGAAAAATCCTAAGCAATAATGGCAGTCTGATTGATTACTACAAGAACAAGGAAGCTGTTTCCCCAGGAGCCATCAAGACAAGTGGTCGGGACCCCTCAGAGCAAACCCCCTTCCAAGACTGAGACTCAAGGGGAATATATGAGCAGGCATGTGGTCTGGCTGGTGACCACATTGGTCACCAATAAGGGAAGATGGGGGAAAAAACAGCAATGAAGTTGCGAGTTAAGCCTGACCATATTCAATAGACTCCTGTGAACCCGGGTGGAGACCTGGATGGATGACCAGCAGTATGGCAAGACCCGGGGAATCATTGGCCCAGAAGCAGTGACATGGCCACAGAGGACTAAAGCAGAGAGTGAAGCATCTAGTTGATATGAAGTGAGGGGAGATGCACAAGAACACCCATACTTGCAGATAGAACCCA